GTCAGCTTCCACTGTGGGAGAAACTTCAGCCGCTCCCACAGGCTTGGTTCTTGCTGTGCTAACTGAACCCTGAAAATCCTCTCCACTCCCAAGCCCGTGTGCATCCTCCGAGAGGTCAAGCGCCACCCTCCCCTTCTCCCCAGGACATGAGCCTCCTGGAGAGACAGCAGTGAGGGAACGCGAGCGCAGTCTTGGGTGGAGTGGTTCATCGTCAGTCGCACGGTGCCCGTGTTTCGCTGTCTTTCCTGGGTGTCTGCTAAACTGGAGGCCCTGGCTGAGGCAGCAGCATCCGGCATCTCACACCGTGGGCTCAACGACCCCGTGCAGTAGGTTTTAGGATCCTGGTTTTGCAGAGGGGGCAGGTCTCGGAGACACTGAGTCCCTTAGCCAACGTCCCACAAGCTTTCCAGACCCCAGCTGGCTCCTCCCTCCAGCTTCCCTGTGGGAAATTTGGGAGCCTTCCTCTCCTCCGCTTTCTCCTTTCTCTCGATAATCAGTTCCCAGATTCTGTGGGTGACAGCACCTAGCCACGTGCCAACAGGTCGCTCAGTGAACACGGAGCTCCCGCGCTTCGCCAATCTCTCCTCTCTGAAAGAGTCCTCAGGTTCTGAAGGATCTAGGGGAGAATGCCTCCTGCCTTTTCCTACTTTCAGAGGCTGCCAGAACTCCTTGGCTCATGGCCCCACATCACTCTGACCTCCGCCTCCATCATCACACCCGCTTCTCTCTCGGACTCTCCTGCATCCCTCTTCTGAGGACCTTGTGAATACGTAAAGCCCGGCAAGATAATCCAGGATCCTCTCCCATCTCAGGATCCTTAACTCGATCACATTTGCACAGTCCCCTTTGCCTTGTAAGGTGACATATTCACAGGGTTCTGGGGATGAGGACATGGACTTCTTTAGGGGCCATTATTCTGCCTCCCACCGTCCCCACGGATTTTCCAGCTTGAGCTACTTGGAAATATTTGAACATCTTCATGTCTCCCCTGACTGCCAGGATGATTGGGGGCCCTTCTTTGGACTTTTGCTTCCTTTTCTTTTTTTTTTTTAAAGAGTAGCACCTGAGCTAACAACTGTTGCCAATCTTTTTTTTTCCCCTGCTTTTTCTCCCCAAATCCCCCAGTATATAGTTGTATGTTTTAGTTGTGGGTCCTTCTGATTGTGGCATGTGGGACGCCACCTCAATGTGGCCTGCTGAGCAGTGCCATGTCCGCCCCCAGGATCCGAACCAGCGAAACCCTGGGCCGCCGAAGCAGAGTGCACTCCCAGAAAGTGGGGGCGCCTTGAAGTGTCGGAGGTAGGCCTTCCATCTCTGCAACCAGTTGGCTTGATGCCTGGTACAGAGTAGGCCTCCAATACACATTCGTTGAATGAATCAGTGAGTGACAAAATACTTGTGTTCTTTCTTGCCTCAAGGCCCATCTGAGAGAGAGAGGTGAAACATCCCCCAAGTTGGTGCCTTTCTATGGCTGGTAGGGGCCATGGGTGAGTATCTTTCTGCTCCAGCCATCATGGCCCCACTGGGAGCATTTGCCTGGTCCATGCCACAGGTGCCTAGCTGGTCTCCCCGCCTCCACTTTCCATGACCATCAACCATTGTCGTCTCCATTTCAAATTGAGGCTGTTCTAGAAAATTCCAAATGCATAATTACCAAATAATAATAAAAGCAATCTTACAAACAAAAGATAAAAAAACAGAGACAGGTGATTCCTCTTGGTCTGGAGGTCCAGGAAGCCCTTGAAGGAAGAAGTGTGGGCCCTCTTCTGCAGGACAAGGGGTGGGGAAGTGGTTTCAAGTAGAGGAAACACGATGGACAGAGTCATGCAAGATGAAGATGGAGATGACGATGGTTGATGGTCGTGGGGGGTCTGGAATGGCCCATTCAGGCAACTGGGAGTCACTGAATGTTCCAAGCAGGAGAGCAGTGAATCAGATTCCTGCTTTGGAGGATCCCTCTGGCTGCTGAACAGAGGTTGGATGAGAAGAGACGGAGGGTGGAGGCGGGGAGACCAGCTAGGCACCTGTGGCATGGACCAGGCAAATGCTCCCAGTGGGGCCATGATGGCTGGAGCAGAAAGGGAGGAAAGGAGAGGAGCGATCATCGTGTCAAGCATGAGGGGTGGTGGGAGAGCTGACACATTGCAGCTGATGACTGGCAAGATGGCGGTACTACAGAAAAGGGGCAGAGCACGAAGGCAACTGGAGGTGGGAGGATGAGTTTGACTTTTTTTGTCCTAACATTTTATTACGAAAAACTTCAGTCATGTAGAAAAGTTGAAAAACCCATGCAGTGAATACCCATATGCCCGCCATCTCCATTCTACCATTACCGTTTCCCCAAGCTTGCTTTATCACACGTCTAGCCATGCCCACCCATCCATCTTACGTTTTCAACGCATTTCAGAGTAAGATACAGACATCAGTACCCTTGACCCCTAACCCCTTTAGCCTGCATATCATTACCCAGAGTTCCATATTTGCTTAAGATTCTTTTTTTCTTCCTACTGATAATCTCAGCATTTCTTTCTGTATAAGTTGTTCTCTTTTACTCCATCCACCTGTTGATGGACATTTGTGTTGTTTTGAGTTTTTGGCTATTATGAACAAAGCTGCTGTGATCATCTGCCCACTTAAAGAAACTGGGTTATTTTTGATCACGCCCTTGGGAGGCTGAAGAGTCCAACAGGAGGTGAGAAGTGAGGGTGTGGGGCTCTGGAGGGACTGAGAACCTTGGGCTGGCAGTACCACTTTGGGGGAGGGTGGTGGCGGTGCTCACCATGGCTGTGTCTGGGTTCCTCATCTTGGCCGCACACTGGAATCACATGGGAGCTCGTAAAACCCTGATGTCCAGGCCAGCTTGCTCATCTCTCAGGTAGAGCCTGGGCAGCTGTGGGTTTTAAAGCTCCTGAGAGGACTCGAACTGGCAGCCAGGGTTGGGAACCACGGAGGAAGAACGAGGCTCCAGGATGGAATGTGGGTCAACACTTTCAATTAAAGAGCGGGTGGAGGAGAAGCCAGGGGAAGAGATGGAGAAATAAAGAAGTGGAGAACCAGAGGAGTGAGTTTGTTTATCAGGGAGGACAAATCCACAGTATTAAACCTGCAGAATGACTGAGGAGAAGAAGAGCCCAAGGGTATCGTGGTCGGATGACACATTCAGGGCAGAGGGTGGGACGTGAGACCTCGGAGGCAGTCTGAGGTCGTGCAGTCTGTCTCGGAAGAGAGCTTATCGATGGGGATGGAGAGAGGTTAGAATCAACTCCTCCCCTATGCGTTTCCTGGTGGACATCAGCTGGCAGAGGTGGGCGGCAGAAGCCAGAGGAAGGCTGCTTCTCAAACCAGTGGACCATCAGACCGTCTGCACCAGGACCACGGTGAACCTGGAACTGCCTGGAGCACCTTTCAGAAAACATCAAAACTGAGCTGATAGAGCCTGAGCTGTGAAACTGACTAGGGGATGAGCTCCCGGGTGAGGACCCATTCAGCCAAACAGCGGCTACCTCGTCTGGTCTGGGCAGCCCCAGGCAGTGGAAGGAGCCGTGGCTTCTAAGGCTGGCTCTCACAGCGAGTAGCCCAGAGACCCTATGCACAGCACGTGTGCTCTCTGTGCCTCATTTTCCCCATCTGTGAAACAGGGACAAAATCCACCCTGTGTTTCACCGGCTTTGTAATCCAGGAAGCACCAGATGGACTGAGGGACACTGAGAGGCTCAGAACCAAGAGAACGCGGCTGCAGGCCCCACAAAGCTTATGGTTCTGGGCTTACCAAGACAGAGTCCTTCACACCTTGTGGATTGACTTTAAACAGGAAAGAGTTAAAACGAAAGGGTTTCTGACTAACTCTCATTTAAGTATGACTTATCTAAAGTAGAACCTGTGGGAAAGATTTTTAAAAAATATTTTTAGGGGCCGGCCCCATGGCTGAGTGGTTGAGTTCGCACGCTCCGCTTCGGCGGCCCAGGGTTTCACCGGTTGAGAGCCTGGGCGTGGACCCAGCACCGCTCATCAGGCCATGCTGAGGCAGCGTTCCACATGCCACACCTAGTAGGACCCACAACTAAAAATATGCAACTATGTACCCGGGGGGGGGGGTGGTTTTGGGGAGAAGGAGGAAAAAATAAAATCTTCAAAAAAATATATTTAAAAAATTTTAATTCATTGTGGACTGATATTTTTATAAGCACAATAAAAAATCACTAGAAAAATGCAATGAAAAAATATATTCAGACATTAAATTAGTCACACATTGCCATAAATGTTTATATTCTTGTTGCACATAACAATTAGTGAGCCAGACCACACTGTGAGTAGGACTGACCTATGTCCTCACTACTCAGAGGGGACCAGCAGCATTGGCATCACCTAGGAACTTGCTAGAAATGTGGCATCTTTGCCCCATCTCATTCCTGCTGAACCAGCCTCTGCTTATGAACAAGTTGCCCAGGTGATTCATGAGCAGGTTAAAGTTCCTGGTGGCACCTGAGGCAGCTGGGACTCAGGAAACTTGCAGAACGAAGGAATTAACGAGAACCTCTCCATGTAATCTCAGTCTATCATGACACCAGAGCTGAGGGTGTGACCTTATTCCCAAGGAGCTGGACCAGCCGCATAATTTGCAGGGCCCAGTGCAAAAACAAAAATGTGGGGCCCCCTTTTCAGAAAATTATTAAGAATTCCAAGATGGTGACAACGAACCCCGGGGCCTTTCTGAGTGTGAGGCCCTGTCTGACGGCACAGCTCCCACACCCATAACGCTGGCCTTGCTGATGAGGTAGGACAGGGTTGGGACGGTCTGGATTCATTTATCCTAGCCAAGTTATGAGATTTCTGCTTTGTTTTCTTCATTACCAATCATTATAATGAAAAACCTCCAACCCTCATCCTTTTTGAAGTTTATTTTTTCTCAATATGCAAATTGAAATGGTTTCAAATGGCTGTTATTCCAGTGTAAAGAATTCTCTCCAAAAAATACAAATATGTGTCTATTAAAACATGAGTGGGAGCTCCACAGGGGAGGGACAGCTTGTGCTCATTTATTTCATTGACAGTGTACAGATTTCGACATATTGCATTACAATACTGACCGCTAGATTTCTTATAAAGATTCAGTTCATATTTACTCTAGATTTTCTTTACAATAAAAATAAACTTACGCCAGTGTTTAGGAACCAATAATATCAATTCATTCAAATTTAATGACAGTTTTATTAAACTAAGAATCTCATATCACAGCGCATTCACAGTGCAAGAGGTCACAGTTATTGAAAAAATAAATAGCGGGATAAATATATTTATTATTTACAACTTTTCAACTCTTTGCTCCTACTTTGCCTGTTAGGGAGAATGAACAAAGATGGCGGCATTCAGCCCAGCGTGCAAGAAACGCCTTGTGGGGAACTCAAGGGATGTGTAACAGCCTCCGAAGTTCTTGGTCTTGGTTGTTTTTAAGGGGGTTCTTTCTGGACACAAGAGGCCTCTGATTCTATCTACTTGCTACTTTGTAAGTCATGGCTGGGCCCCAAGAAGACCCCATGAGGACCGCACGGCCCTGCAGCAACTGCGCCCAGTCTGCCACTTGGGCATCCAGGATGTGACTTCCCTCTCCTCACTCGGCCCTTTCCTTGGCAGCTCCTGCCTCTGCCCACGGGCTGGGCCCCATCTGGCTGGCAGCCCTCTTTCCTCTCTAGGTAATCAATGCTCTCTTTGTGTTCAGACACCCAACAGCTACTCCTGTCTGGTGGCTGCTGGACAGGAGACACAGGCAGAGGGCACCCTGCCAGGAAGTGTGTGTTCTGAACGACACAGAGCCTCCCAGATTAGAAGCCCCCTGAGGAGGGTCCCCAAGAGCGAGCCACAGAGGCTGAGCCACAGCTCTGTCCACTGGGTCCCCAAATATCTTTGGTCCAAGCCGCGTGGAGGAAGCTCCGAGAAGTGTTTCACAGCTCAGAGGGGCACCTCTGTGGGTGGGAGCAGGGACGCCCAGTGACTAGAAAAAAAGCCACTATGACATTTGATTTGGAAAAACAGAACTGTCTTGCTCACACTCCAGGCATTTTCAGGAGGAGGAGAGGCCTCGCTCCTTCCATTGAAAGGGGACCGTGCATCTGTGTGGACACTCGGGAATTCCTGCACTGGGAATTCTGGACGGGGAGCCGGAAGGGCTCTGTTATCTGGGACCCTTCCTTTATGTACAAAGGCTGATCGTATCAAACCACGAAGCCAGGAGCCAAAAGCTGCACGTTCCCTCTTGAGAGCTTTAAAAAAACTGTTTTCCAGTGGTGGAGTGGGGAGGGTACATACTTTCTCCAGGAGTAAGGGTTTTATTGGCTGTGACCATGGAAAAGTCCCAACCAACATGTTGCATAAAAGCCAATTGTTTGAATTCTGGCAACAGTGGGAATACGTGTGGATTATGCCCCGTGTGTCATCGGCTTTTAACCAAGGAGCAGCCCATCGCAGACCCATAAACCTAACAGATAGAAAAGCCACACAGCCAGGGGCTTGACGTTCATATAGGTACAGGGCATTTCTGACTCTCAGAGCCCCTTGCCATCAGCCGCAGCTCTGTACCGGGGTGTTCAGGTGGCGGGCCTTTTCCTGAACTAGAAGAGAGGATGCTGTTAGCCTCTGCTACAAGGTGCGCGGCGGATACACGACCTCGCCCACTGGATGCTGACACTGTAAGCGGCGATGAAAACCCTTAGAAACATTCAGGTAAATGACACAAAGCGTGGCCACCAGCCCAAGGCAGTGTGAGAGGACTTAGTAGAGACGAATGCAACCAGGGAGCCATTTGTCATAGGAAAGTTAGAATTTTTTAAATCCCCATAAAATAATCAAAGCTCTAATACCACCCAGCTGGCGTCCCAGTTGTGATGGAAAAAATAGCTCCCCTGGGAGGCAGAGCGGGAGAAAATGGCCTCTGCTCCCGATTTTATGCGGGTCCCCGTTTCCTGGAGGTCGGGCAGCGCTGGGATGGTCCGATAGTCCTCTGTTGGCTACTAGGCCAGAAGCTAAGCACTAAACTAGTGTCCCAATTTCATTTTTCTTATTAAGAAGGAAATACAACGACCTGAATGCCTTTGAAAACTCTGCAGCCCCACAGACTGTGCCCTTTGGGGAACGTTCTTTGCGGCACAGCAAAGGGGCCCCACACAAGCCACACTGGTAAAGAGGCCAGGCTCGAAGTGAGCAAAAAAATCTGTGTGCCAGCCGTGTCCTCTGCCTTGTGGGATGGACCCATGGAAAGATCCTCGTGTTCCACCACCCACATGACTGACACAGTGGGGAAGATTTACCCAGGGCTGGAGGGGCCCCTTGTCCACGCTTTGAGAAGGCCCAGAGGGAGTCTTCACGCTTGAGGGGCTCCTGTGATCAGCTGCAGAGACCAGAACAGCCAGGGAGCAAGTGCTCACACCTGGCAGGGGCGCCAGATGCTCTGGGTGAATCCACACAGACAGGGCAGGGGCCAGGGAGGTAGCACTTTGGGTCTAGGGGTAGGAGGGGGGATGACGGACTTTCTGTCACCCAAGAGCTGCCCAGAGAGCATTTTCAGAAATTTCTGGAAGTTTCTATGGGCACGATGGGGTCACCAAGCTGCCAAGATGTGGACCATCTCAGATGCCCTGGAGGTACCGGCTAACTGCCCCAAAAGGAGAAATACACACGGAAATCGTGTTCAGAGCGCATTAGAGGGACCCGGGAAGATTTAAATCACGGCACATGGCAATAATCTCCTGAAGGTTTTCACCATAATGAGCAAGTTCCCTGTTTATTCGAGCAAGAAGCATTTGCTGTGAGCCTGTCACATACGCAGTACAGACTACAAAGGAAGGAAAGATGGGGACAGGAGAGAGGAGGCAGGTCCGTCCCTGGTGCCCACTCAGTGTCAGGGCTGATGGGAGGGCCACGGCCTCGTGGGAAAACCGAGCTCACCGAGGAGGGTCTCTGCATCTCTCCTCCGGCTTCCAGGGGAAAGTGCTACCCTGTTCCAGCACTTAACCCCACCAGCCCATTTCACACCTGGGGAAGGAGGGCAGGAACTGACCCTCCCCCACTCCATCTCACCTGTCCACCCCCACCTGAAGGAGAGGCAGGGTCCCCAGGACCCAGGGAGGAGAAAGGCCATGGGGAAAGAGGGGTGTCCGGCAAGGAGGCCACACACACGCTGCCCACATCCCCAGCCTTCGCGGGGAGCCCCATGTTCCTGAGTGCCGGGCCCCTGAGGGTGCTGTAAGGATCGCAAGGCCCCATCAAGAGGGAAGAGGCCAAAGTTTCTTCCGTTGGGACCTAGACCATGGGCAGCCCAGGAGGCGGGTCTCTGGGTGGGGTCTGCAGGACTGCCCTGGAGCAATGCCTCACCTGGTTCAACCTGGCTCCGGCAGGGCGATGCCTTATCAGCCGCTTGGGTCACTAAAGGCAGGGGATTGACAGGCAGAAGCAAGGAACAGCCCCGACAGGTGGTAATGAGCCGGTGAAATGCACAAGGGCTGGGAGGTATGTGCACACAGGCGAGCAGCACAGAGGTGAGCAGATCGTGGGTGACAGGAAGGGAGGGTAGGACGACTGACCTGCCACGGTGCCCTTAACCATTAGTCTCACACTACAGCTGACCCAGAACCTTCCTCCAGGGCCAGCTTCTCGGAGACCATACCTTTCACCCTGACCACGCTTGAGCTAGCAAGGGCAGATCCCAAACCAGAGCTCCACAGGAACCACCTGCGTCTGTTCCTACAGACATTCTCTGTTGGAGTGCAATGGCTCATTTCTCCTTTCTGCCCCCAATTAGAAGAGCTAAGTTTATAGACTTTTTAATTGCTTATTTTTGAAGCGGAGTAATTACCCCATGATAATTAGCTTCAGGAATAAAATAAAGGAAGCAACTCTGCGTGGTGATAAAAAGCATTCCTTTAAAAGGAAGGCCTAATTAATCAAGCAATTCTTTAAACTTGTGATGTAAAAATATTTAGGGAAAAGGACAATCTTTCACCTACAGTGTATATAGAGTTTCCTAGACACAATAAATGCATAGATCTTTAAGAAAGTGACATTGGCACATTAAAGTCAAAAGAGAAGTAGCCAGGAGGAATGCTGTATACAATAAGAAAATTATTTTTCAGTCTCAAACTGCAATTGCTGTATACTTTACAATCTCAGGTGGATTCTGCTGAGGAAGAGGCGGGTAATCAGGATGTGTTCTCTGAAAGCTGCACCAGGATTCAGAGATGTGAACACCAGCGAGGACACTGTCAGGGGCCATGTGGCCGGTGCCTTGCAGGTAAAAATAGTTTTTGGTTTTATCAGGAAAAAATAAGGACACTGGATAGGGAGAGAGAAAAGGATATGAACTGGGACACCCTAAGTAAATATTCGATGAAGTTTTAACTCAGACAATAAGAAGCAACCACAAGGACAAAGATACACCCCCACTCCCGCCCCCCGAGGATGGCTGAGCCAGGAAGGGTGAAAATATCCAGCTTGGCTCCTGCTCTGTTACTTACTGGCCATTGACCTAGAGTTACCCGACTTCTCCAAGACTAAATTTTCTGTTAAACGGGGAGAATAATCCCTATTGACGTCTCAGGGCAGTTTTGAGAATCAAGGTAGAAACAGAAGCACTTTGAAACCTGGATGGGTCCATAGGATGGGAGGGACCAGGCCAGCTACGCTAAGAGGGCAGTCGGTCCCCAGGGCTCTGAACCCGCTTGCATCTAAAATTGATACTGATGAACCTACAGGCCCCCTGGCCTCCCACAGAGCTAATTTCTTAGGAAAATCACCACTGTCCTCCACTTGAAGACCACTGAGCCCAAGATCTAAGTAGAGAAATAAGAAGAGAAGCCTTGGTGTGGTACAGCTATGAACACTGATGCAGACCCACAACAGAAGCCTGCGGACTGAGTTCCAGCCCATCTTAGAATCATGCTAACCTAAGGACACAAGCCTGCACACTTCCTCCTCCTGAAATCCAGGAGGCCCTCCAGAGCACAGCCACAAACTCCACCTCGCGTCACAACCTGTGTGTCTCAGGAAGGAATCCACGATTGGACTTAAACTCATTGCCAAGGACCGATTATTGTCCAATCACTAAAAGCCTCCTTTCCACGCCCCGTCACGGGTAGTTCCCAAACAGTCTTCCGTGCAAAATATCCCAATATTAAAAGTGCATCAAATCTGATAGACTTCTGCAATAGAAACATTAAAAAAATAAAAAAACCCCTCTATATAAAATTAATTGTGCTCTTTTCAGAAACCACGAAGGGTTTGTGTTCGTAAATCTTTTTAATATATATTTGAGAGCTATGAAGCAGTCGAAAATTGCTTAATATTTTTCTATTTTTGAATCAGCCTCCCATCCTTGGCCTTTCAAGTGTAGCAAGCTCTAAGGTTCAAGAAACTTCATTCTAAAAATTCCAAGGGATGGTTTTCATACTTGCCTCCAGCTAAGCAGAGAGCAATCTGTTGTTTTTCAGGAAATCTCTCTTTTTGTCATTAACCATTACGTCTGGCACCCTCGCTACAGTTCAGCAGGCTAGGAAATCTGTTGGGCCCATAAACAATTAGGTCTTTGAACAGGTCGGCTTTGAGAGTAGAGCAATAACAGAGAAATGACAAACCCAGACTGTCAGTGCGTTGCATCGCACGGAAGGTCTGGAATGTACGGCTGTAAACTACAATCTTCACTGTGTCTCTGACTTAGCACCCGTTCAGACGTCAGTCTTGCTCTTTTCTATCTTCCAGACCAAACGTCTTAGTGTCAGTGCAACACGATACCCACAGGATTCATTTTCCATAAGCGCTACCTTTTTGGTCCCCATCCTTTTGTACGGAATGATCTTTTTCAAGTATGATGATTTATATGACATTTTATTTTTAATATTTCATTGCTCCTTCTCTGAATGCAGCCATAAAACTGCTAAGAATATTCACTCACTTTCTCTCTTCTGCTGTGAAACACTGTTTCCATTCTTCCAATTTTTCCAGAAAAAGGGGTGGAATGTCTGCTGTCACGGCCCCAAACCAACCGGCTGAGGCTTTGCCCCCTCCAAACCGTGAGTGCTTCCCGCAGAAGTCGGAGCCTCTGAGCACATGCTGGGTAAGGAACCCACACCCCCGGCCCAGAGGGGACACTTGAGAACAACAGTCCTATTTTGCACTTGTCCCAGGAGGCCTCACGTTCACCGACCGCCTCATTTCCGAGGCTGCCGTGCAAGAGAAGAACAAACTGAACAGAGAAGTCCTCCTGACTAGAGTGTCGAGGGACGGATGTGACACACGCCACATCCCTGTGGCTGGCAGCTCAGAGATCTGTGAAGCTGCTCAGATAGCGGCCCCCAGAACTTGCCTTGGGGGGCAGAACTCCAAGGAGGAGGAGGACGCCCAGCAGCCTGGCCCGCGACCAGACAAAGCCCACGATGGCTCTTCCTTCCAGTGTATGAAACAACAGACCGTGGCTGCCGAGGCAGGACAGACTCGTGGTGGAGGAAGGGGAGAGAAGGGGGGCCCCAGCGCCGGAGTGTCCAGAACGGCTCCCGGGGGGCAGCGGCTCAGCTTTAGTCGTCTTCTCGGCACATCGGCAAGTTGACGAAGGTGAAGACGTTAAACTCGATCATTATGGAGAAGCACAAGAAGACGACGTAGAGAACCAGCACGTAGATCCCCAGCTTCCGGTCCAGCCTCCATTTGTTCAGATGGATGCCGAGGACCTGGAAGGACAGAGTGCGAAGACTGGGCTTGGGGGCAGAGAAGTAAAAAAGGCATTTTTACCGGAAAACTAGGCACCAATGATGAACCCCAGAACTTTCTCCAAAATGTGGATACGAGCAGAACGTCACTGCCTGGTATATCCTCGGTCTGATCAGAATGAGCCCTGCTGCAGGCTTTAGACTTGTCTGATGAAAGGGCAAATCTAAAGCCCGTCTCTGGGCAGGCACGCCACTTCCTCGGGACGCATGTGTCCTCCTGGCCCAACCCAGGCACCGAGGTCCTCCCTGCCCACACCTTCTCTAGGGACAACCAGGGCCTGTTGCTGGGCGCTCCCTTTGTTTCAGACCTTGGCATCCTCAGCCCTCTTCAGCAAAACTTCCGAGACTCCTATTGGCCGGCGGTCCAGGAAACTTCAGCTTGGGCCACCTGTCCCTGTTCATATGTGGGTGTGTCTGGGGAGATAGGGGTGCAGCACACCCTCTTTCTACAGTCTTTCTAGGCTCACCCGTGCTGCCCTCACGCCCTTCCTTGTCCCGCCTGAATCGAGGCTTCCTAAGGGGTGGATCATAGTTACTTCACCAGAGCAACATCAGGCGTCCTATACAGACAGACCAACCCGGCTTCCAATCCCAGCTTTGCCATTTGCTAACCCTGTGACCTGGGGCAAGGTACTTAACCCCCAAGACTTGATTTCTTCTGCAAATCGAGAATGGTAGCACCAGGTGATTGTAAGGGGTGAACACACGTGCAGAAGTAAAGTGTTTAGCACAGTTCTGGGCCCACGGTGTAAGGAGACCTCAGTACGACCACGTGCCAGCCCTGAGCCCGACCGTCAGGCCCCCATCCGTCAGCTCAGTTGGGCTGGGGGAGGATCTCTCTCCTCCTGGCACCAGCGAGAGGAGACTGGACGAGCAGCGAGAACAGAGGAAATATAATCTGCCTCCTCTGATGACTTCCTAGCCACTGAGGGAGCAGTGTCGTGCTGGCTGCCAACCTTCTTGGCACAAATTGTGGCAAGGGGTATCTGCATTTCTATCTTTCCCCAGCTTTATCCCTCACTGCCAGGGGAGAGTGCGAGGGGTGTGACCCGGCAGAATCTGATGAAATGAAACACGCACGAGGCCTCTATTTTGAAATTGTGCAAACTCACGGTGAGAGCGACGGAGCCCAGCAACAGCACCACGGAGTAGACCAGACCCCGGCTGTTGATCTTCACCTGGAGAAACGAACACACGGGCCCTGAATCTCTGGGCTGCTCAGGGCCCGTCCATTCTGAGCGCCCAGGGTGCTCTCGTTTATTCCCTCCCTCATCTGGAACGCACGGGCAAGTGTTCACGGTGACCACGTGGCCGTGGAGGGTCAGCCAACTGTGGATTCAAGCATTGACTCTGCTTGTCTGAGGAGCTGGACCAGGAGCGGACGCACGGGCAGGCCGCTGGGCTGAGACACGGGGTGGAGGCACCGACGAGCGCTCCCTCCTGCGGGCACCCCTCAGCCTGCTCTGATAGCATGCACAGAGAGTGGGCGCCCGGTGCCAAGGAGAAGGGGGAAGCATGTGCCCTGGGGCCCTCGGGTGGAACAGGGGCAATGCCACTCTCATTCCCCAGATGTGCCCCACGTCCGGCTCACTTACTAAAGAGGCGAGAGGAGCTTACCGTGGATCCACAGTTAATAACCATGGTCTGCAGGCCCCACGGTATCCCGAGTCCTACCAGGATGTCAAACACGTTGCTTCCTATGGTGTTGGAGACCGCCATGTCACCAAGGCCTGCAGGGGACAATCGACACGTGTCATTCATCAAGAGCAGGTCACTGGAAACCGCTGTTCTTTCCCATGGCTGCTGTATTAGAGCTGTTCCTTAGCAAGGAGTTCCTTCTTCATGGACCCCACATTCCAAACCCTTTTCATGAGCTCTAAATCCACTCCCTTCAGGAAGCTCACAGGGCCTGTTACGGGTTTCACAGTGGCCCCCAAGATTCCCATGCTGGAGTCCTAACCCCCAAGACCTCAGGATGTGACCTTATTTGGCAACAGTCTTTACAGGGATTATCAAGTTACCGTGAGGTCATGAGGGTGGGCCCCAATCCAATGTGGCTGGTGTCCCTATAAAGAGAGGCAACTTGGATGCAGCAGAGAGGGAACGTGAAGATGGCCATCTACAAGCCAAGGAGAGAGGCCTGGAACAGTCTCCCTCACGGCCCTCAGGAGCCCACTCTGCCAACACCTTGATCTTGGACTTCCAGCCTCCAGCGCTGCGAGACAATGCCTGTCGTTTCCACCTCCTGGTTTGTGGGACTCTCCTAAGGCAGCCTGAGGAAGCTAACGCAGGGCCCCGCGCTCTTTCTCCTCCAGGTTCATCAGCTGATGTTTCTCTGAGGACCCACTATGTGCTTTGCCTCATTTAATCCTCCTGGTTATTCTGGGAGGGAGGGGTCATCCTCATGTGACTGATGATGAAACTGAGGCGTGAGATACACCCACAGCCACACACTTTGTGAGCGGTCCAGGTCCTTCAAAGAAAGCCACGATGCGTACGCGTGGCCCAGGTGACGGCACCGTGACCTTGACACAGATGACACGGCATCGGGTCTTACGCCCTGGCAGCTTCGGAAGGGTGAACTCTTTTCCCCCAACCAGACTAGAAGCATCTTAGAGGCCAGGAGCCGTGCCATCATCCCCCCTTTCCTGCCCAACTGTCCACTATCACGCTAGCCACACAATCTGGGGAACTTAATAACTGGAGGGGTATTAAAAGTTAGAAAACAAACTTTTGCAACTAAGACTCATGCTGGCTGACATCTGTTCTAACCTGGCCGCCTTGCCCCAATTCAACACGACGGTCGTAATCTGGCACACACAAAAAACGTGTGTGGAATGAGCAAGCCTGAAACTCGAGTGCCTCTAACTGTAAAATCGCTTTGGTCGCTCAGAAGCTCACAGCGACTCAGACCAGCAACAGACGACTGACGCACCTCCGCTTGACCACTCGCCCGCTGGTGGGAGCCGGGTCACCTACACGCCCGCCCTGTTGCTGTCATCTGCTGACCGCCAGGACATAGGGCTCCCTCAAGGGCCTCACACTCTCCCTCCCTGCCTGCCCCAGGCACTATTCCGAGTGCCTTCACAATCCCGGAAGTCCTGTTAGGGGCAGCATTGGAACTTCCGGTCTCTCAGTCTCTCGTAAAACACAGGAACGTGCAGCAACTGCTCTGGACCAGCGAGTCGCCCTGGCGAGGAGGCAGAGGATCACTGAGTTTCGGAAGAGACGGTTGAGCACTTCTCGGGTTTGGCAGACTTCCTGTTCTGCACAGGCGCTGCCCTTGAAGGACTCTCATGGCAGCACGTCTCAAACTTTAAGAGCACGTGACTCGCTTGCTAAAAGCAGATTCCTATTCAGTGGGGCTGGGGGGGGGGGCACCTGAGAGTCTGCATCTCTCACAAGCTCCCTGTCAAGTGGATGCTGCCAGCCTGGACCACACACTTGGAGCTGCAAGCCTCTAGAGAGCCTGGGATGCAGTACTTTTGCGCTGGAGCCCGCCGCATGGCTCCCGCTCTGTGCGGGGGACTCTGAACAGAGGTTTGTGTGTCCTTGGCCATAAAGAAACTGTCTGTGCTTTAACCATGTCTGCTGGACCCTCTGTCAATCACATCAGTGTGGCTGTCCATCCATTTCTGTGCTCCTTCATTCCTGAGATGATGTCCTCCCTCAAAAGCCCCACCTGTCCCTTGTTCCTACAGATCCCCTTTTTTGACCTCACTGGGAATCCCCCCTCAAGCCCTTAACCTTCTAGCATCACAACACCCCTCCCCCGACAACCCCACCAGCCTGGACTCCAGGGCCAGTTGTTTACATGGCACATTCTCTTGCCCCCTTGACGTTCCATAGTGGCCACCCAGCCAACCCCAGCTCTGGGTGAACTTGTCATCTCTCATCTGTGTGTCGCTGGAGCTGGTATGACTGAATCCCAACCAAGTCCACGTCACTGAACATCCGCCAGGCTGTCGGTGCTCACTGGCTTTCCTTTTACTCACTGTGCTGGGTTGAACAGTTAAAATTAATAAAGGAAACCTCAACTAAAATCGGAGTCAGGAAGGCCTGTAGAGGGAGCTCTCGAGCCCTACCACTCATCATCAAGCACCCCAACCCGGAAGACGTCAGTGACAGCATCAGTTAATCACAGAGTCAGTTACAGATCCCAACAGGAAGAGACACACCTTGCAGCCCCAAACAGGATGTGCAATTACTTTATGGAGGAAGGCAGATTTGCTTCCTGCCCAGCAACAAGCCCAGCCAATGGACACGCTGCAGCTCAGCCAATGAGAAGCTGTCATTGTTGAACTTTTACTTTCCTCCAATGAACTTTCATGTTTTTCCTTGCTGGGGACTTCCTTTCCTTGCCCCACTCTCTTTACTATAAAAGCTTTCCATGTTGTGTAATTCCTCGGACTTTCTCTGCTTGCTAGATGAGATGCTGCCTGATTTATGAATCGTTTAATAAAGCCAATTAGATGTTCAAATTTACTCAGTGGAACTTTGTTTTTTAACAATAGTGCCCCCCTCCAACTCACGTCCATCGGGACTCTGTGAATGTGACCTATTTGCAAATAGGGTCTTTGCAGATATAATCGAATTAAAATGAGGTCCTACTGAATTAGGGTGGGCCCTAATCCAATGACTGTGTCTTTATAAGAAGAGGGCAGTTTGGGCACAGACACACACAAAGGGAGGGACACCACATGAAGAGGTAGGCAGAGGCTAGAGTGACGCAGCCACAAACCAAGGAACGCCGAGGATTCCTGGCGGCCACCAGAAGCTAGGAGAGAGGCAAGGAAGGAGTCTTCCCAAGCACCTTCAGAGGGAGCATGGTCCTGCCCACGCCTTGACTGTGGACTTCTAGCCTCCAGAACCGAGAGATAACCCACTTCTGTTGGTTTAAGTCACCCAGTTGTGGAACTTTTGTTATGACGGCCCCAGGAAACGAATATTCACCTCAAAGCTCACTTGATTAAATTCTGTTACCCTCAGCTGTTGTCCTGACTGTCCCCATTCGTTGCAAGGCTCCAGCCTACTGCCAAACATGCTCCCACCCTCCCCTTCCCCTCAGTTCATGTCTTCTCAGCACCGAGGGACCACCCAAGCAACCCTTTCTCCTATCTTGGAGGAATAAAATGACCTTTCCCTCTTTCCAAGCCAACTTTCTCTGGGCGCTTCTCTCTGTCCTGTCTCCTCTGAGATTTCCATTATTCGCCCATCCTGCTCCCCATACTTTTTCAAACTTTCATCTCTGGAGCAAGATCTGTCGAAGCCCAAGCTGGGATGCTCTCACCAGCAGAAAAGGGGCAGTGAATAAAGGCTGGCTCTTCACAGCTCTTTTTTTCTGCCATCAAAGAGCGTACAGGTACTCCTCACCTCGCTTAACCCATGGCACCTAGTAAGCCCCTAGGAAAACCCACCAGCAAATCAAAGCATTAGACAAGGCTTCTAGAACTTGAAGAAGAACAGGACAAAGCTGGAGGTACAGGATCTCCCCACTTTGCCTTCCTGGGACCAGAACATTTCTTGTTTCTACCTCATTTGTTCTAAGAAGTCTGGGCCTCAGCTCCGTCTGATCTCACGTTGATGATTTCAGAACAAGTTCATTTTTAGACAACCCCATGTAAGTAAATGCTTCTAGAGGTCTGGAGGAGTTTATCTGGGTAGTAGTCTCTCCATGAATGGAATCTAATACACGATGCTTTCTAGACGTCACAGTTTCCTCCATAGAAGGACTTAACAACTACGGGTCATAAAAGCCACGAACTTGGGCAGGGGCAAGGGGGCCCCACGGTGACGCTGATGGCTGAGGCTGAGGCCATGATGGTGGGGGCTGAGGCACGACCTGTACCTTGTCTCGCCACGATTAAGCTGGCCATGCAGTCTGGAACGCTCGTGCCTGCTGCCAGGAAAGTAATGCCCATGATGACGTCAGGGATCCCAAGCGTGTACCCAATAATGGTCACCTGCAGAAGAGCGGGGAACGTGAACTCACAGAGGTGCACCCTGGAAACTGCTTACCCTGAGTGCTTCCAACTTGAACCCAGTCCTGCTGGAACCAATAGAAAAATCGAGACCATGGTTTTATTTTAAAAACATCTTTTGAGTGTTCTTATTTCCTGGTTACATGAGTGATACGCATTTTAAAAGGTTTAGAAAAGTAAAAGGAAAATAAAAATTACCTATCATTTCTCACGACTCACAGACACCCACTATTGCCACTTCCCGTCAGCCAGCGGTTCTCAAACTCGGGCACGTAGAGAATCCTCTGGCGGGCTGGTTAGATGCAGACTCCAGGCCCCACCCCGAGTTTCTGATTCAGGAGGTCTGGGGTGAAGCCCAAGAATCTGCATTCCTAACAAGTTCCCAGGTGGCTAGGGCCCTGAGGCTGCTGGCCTGGGAACCACCTATGAAAACTATTGCTTTAGAATACATCCTTGACCTTCCTTTTGGCGTGCGCATCAGAAAACAATGAAATCAGATTGTACCATCAACATATATCTTGCAACTGTCTCATGTAATAACACACTGTGAATATCTTTCCATCTCAAATACTCATTGTCAACAGTATTTTCAGCTGATGCATAGATTGCGTTGCACGGCTGTAAAGCTTTGGCCAATCTCTCACTGGTGAACACTGAGGTTTCTTTCTTTGCTCTTACAACAGCACTGCATAGAAGTAACATTTATCGAACACTTCCTGTGCACCAGGCGTCCCACTTTCACAATCTCACATACTCTACGTGTCACCACCCACTGAGGAGGAAAGTACTATTCTTATGCGCATTTTACGCCTAGAGATACCGAGGGTCAGAGAGGTTCAGTAACACCGCCCGTGGGCATGAAGCTGGAGAGCAGTGGAGCAGGGATCCCAGGCCAGATCTTTCTCTACAGACTAGGCTCCTACCTTGCCATCAGGCTGTTGTGTGTGTACATCTTGGGGGTCTCATTTCACTGCCTCTTTAGGGTAAGTTTCAAGAAATAGGACTGTTGGGTCGAAGGATATGCAGGCTCTTAGGGACCCTGACACACAGTCACATTCTCCTTTAATAAACGTCTGACACTTGAGAGACGGTTGGGGCCCTGAGCAGCAGCCAGATGGAAAGCCCTAGAAGATTTGGACAACCCCATTCAAAACACCGGCTAGTTCTGACTTGCCTTCCCATCTAGAAAATGGGAAGAGTGGCCCCTCCCAGGGTTGTTCACATCTCAGCCGATGGCTCTGATCTCAGCAAACGGTTGAGTGACTTAAGACAAGCTGGTCTGCTTCTCTGAGTCTCAGCTCCCTCATCCGGATAATGGGCTTGTTAACGAGGATTAAGTGAGAAAACGTGAGGTGACAGCGCCTGGCCCGTGCAAGATGTATGTTCCCTTCTCTTTCAATCACTCGTCTTGCAATCTCTGGGGGCAGAGAAAAAGACGGCGACCAGATTCACAGGGCTCAGAGAGCCCCAGAGCAGTGTGCTTTCCCAGTGCAAAGTGCAGCCCTGGGATGCAGCCAGAGCACGTGGACTGAAACGATACTCTGCTAGGACCAAGCTCTGCAGAGAGGTTTGAAGACGCGCCATGCCTGAAAGACTGTGCTCGGCTCAGCATCGTCGGGCTCATGGGACGTCATTTTCTCAGAGTGTGGGGCAGAGTGCATGCCGACAGGCCTGCTTGGGGCGCTGCAGGAAGACAGACACGGAGGAGGGCAAAAATGGGCAGCTGACCCATCAATGCTTAACCTGCGGTGGCCGTGAAGGAGGCCTCCACAAGCAAATCCAGGCTGAGGCTGACGTGGTTTTAACGAGCAATGCCAGACCTCACAGACACAGAAGCCCAGGATCTTTTGGCAATAGTGGGGAGGCCTTCATTTTTTTCTTAAATCACTGAACTACATGGCTAAGAAGTTGAAGGATGGAAGGACAGAAGGAAGGGGGGTGGGGGGGGGCGGTGTGCGTGCGCATGCGCACCATCCAGGGCATCAGGACCAGAGATGCTGCCTGAGCCTTGCTCTGCCCTGAACTCCAGCCCTGGGCACTCCAAGCCCTCCTGATGTTTAGGCTTCAGAAGGGGAAGCAGAGCCAAGTCCAGAGCTTGGGCCGACCATCTGTGTGACCTTGTGGATGTCACATCTCCTCTTTAGTTTTCAGCCTCTCCAACTGTGCAAGGGTGCCGAGCAGGACAATCCATTTCCAAGGTCCCTCCCTTTGACACTGACATTCAAGAATCATTTTCCCTGAGACCTTGGGGGTAAGAGATGGTGAAAGGTGGTGGGAGGGACGGGACAGACAGGTGAGCTGTCCCTGCTCCCGGGCGCCCCCATCAGGGCACAATGAAAGGCAGCGCCTGGCCCTCAGGCTGGTACCTCTGGCTTAGGTAGAAACTGAGCTAACAGGTGGCACTCTCGTCTTAACCAATTTCTACTGTCGAGGTCACACCATTCCCCAAACTCAGGCCAGCTGAAGTTCAAAACTACAGGCACTGTGGTTCCTGTGAGCGCAGCCAAGCCCTTTGCCACAACTCTGCTTTCAGAAGAGGGGCTGGAGTCTGTCAGTCAAGGGGACGAGGTGGGGAGTCTTATTAAATGCCCCGCTTCACTGCAATTAGTAGACCTGACTTCATGATACCGTTATTTTCAGTAAAGAAGAAAAAATTACACACATTCATTAAAGTGACCTTCCCTATTTCTCATACCCAGTCGAACGTCATGAAATATTTTTTTTTACTTGCAGCGTTGTTTTGGGAACACACCTCAGTGAGAGAAATCATCCAATCCTTTATATCCAATATAAAGATGGACTGGCCTCCAGCCCTACTCAGAAAATTTCAAGTTTTCAAATTCAATTCATTGAAGGCACAGTTTGTCTTTGATTGTCATCCTTTTCTGGAGTGTTCGGATGGTAGCTATTTCCAGCTCCTCCCCCACCCCAACACACACACACACACACACACACACACACACACAGAGGCACTATGGGGATTTTAGCGTTCATCTGCACCAAGCATGGCAGCAGTGTTGGCTGCGTCTCATGGTGAAAATACTGGTATTTACTGTTGGGAGTAACTTGCCACGTTGCAAGCATAGACCATGATGCCCAAACAGAGACTTTTCATTCTCCCACTAACTTTGTTAGACAGTGGCGATCATCCCCGTTTTGGGCGGGGGGGGGGACTGTGGCTCAGGGAAGGGGAGTCACCTGCCCAGGTTTCACGGCTCATCAGTGGGAGAACGAGGATTCAGATTCATTCCCACGTGACCCCACGGCCCTTCTTTCTCCAGCGAATTGCTTCTCTGGGGTAAGGGAAGGTGGCCCACTGTGTCTCACACTGATTCGCGTGCCCTCTCTGTGCCAGGTGTGAGGACAGTGACATGACTCACTAAGGCAAGTGGCTGACATGTGAGCTTCACAACAGAAACGCAGCCGACCCGGAACCACTTCTCTCCTCGCTCCTGGGCTCCCAGTGGAACGAGGAGGAAGAGGGACCCCGCAGGGTGGGACACACAGCGAGGGGGCGGGGGCTCCTGCCTGGCCCCCCCCTCCCCCGGCCAATGAAAGGTTTGTACGGGGAGCTGTCACACGTGGCCAGAGTCGCTTACGAGGAGCTATGCCAATGCCTCTCCGCCTGCAAAACCTCAGTCCAGGTGGCATCTGAAGGTTCCAGCAACAAACCGAGAGGCAGTTCAGGATGGTGGTTGAGGTCACTCGGTGGGTGGACTCAGGAGACCAATACCTGGGTTCTAATCCCAACTCTAGAACCCGCTAATTGTGTAATAGCTGCTAATTGTGTAACTAATTGGGCAAATTACTCAATCTCTCTATGCCTCAGTTTCCTCATCTGTAAAATGGGCTTAAATAAATGCCTGTCCTGTGCAGCTGTGATGAGGACTTGAAGAGTTTACATAAAGTTTACACGTGTGCCTGGATGTGGAAGGGGAGGGAGTGTCCCTTAGCAGGGGGCCGAGAAAGGGCCATGTGTGTTCATCTCCCACTGACTTGTCTCCCTCACATTCCCTCGGGGGACCCTGGAAAGGAAGGGCAGCTCGTGGTCAGCCCTCCAGAGCTCTCTGCCGAGAAGTCTTCAAGGTATCAGGCCCAGTGCTTGACTTCCAGTCTGTGCCACCCCTGCCATGTTACATGTTACTCTGCCCATCTTGAAGGATGGCGTGTCTCAGGCTGCCCGTGGGAAGGTTTGCGTCCCTCTTCCACGCGGCCTCAAAGGTGAGCACCACGCTGTGCCCGTCGGGCCATCCCCGGTCCTCAGCTTGGCGCCATGCACCTCTCCTGAAACCCCTTCTACTGAACAATAGCTGAGGTCTGTTAAGGTAGGTGACCTGCCCAAGGCAGCAGAGCAGTGCCTGGGGTCGCTCTCCCACCTCCAGCAGGGGCTGTCCGTACGGTCCCCCCGGATCCCTGCACTCACCAGCCACACCATCACGTAGGAGAAGACAGCAATCCACAGTGTGGCCGTGACGAAGGTGACCATGAAGAACTTCTCCCAGCGGGGCTTGCTGCAGTTGGGGACAGTGACGCACAGGAGGAAGATGAGCGGCCAGGTGAACACCCACTTGGCTTTGTCTCCCCTTGCCTCTGCGGTGGGATGGGGTGGGGCCAGAAGGGAGGGGGAGAGAAATACACACTGGGTTACACACCTGCCAGTCTACCTGTCGGTTTATTTCTCCAAGCCAAACAAGAGAATGCCATCAAGGTGACTCCAAGCAAGTGGCCTCACAGAATCACACACTTCCATAATGCCACCCTGGAAGCGATCTTAGCAAGACAATTCAGTAAGTGTTTGTTGATTGAATAACTGCAGTCAGTCCAATTCCTTCATTTGACAGAATAAGGAAAGTGAGACTCCGAGCAGGAAGGGATTTGCCCAGGGCAGCTGGAATGGGGATACAGAATGTGGAATGGGCTTTGGAATCAGACAGAATTGGGTTAGAATTCAAATGACCTTGAGCAATCCCATCGATCCACTTCCTCCTCTGACAATAACAGTTGTAGTAACAACACCACAATAATTGACACACGGAGTATTTGCTATGAGTAGTGGGCACAGAGCTGAGCACTTTCACTTCAGTAGTTTCTTCATCTGTTAAATGGGAACATTATCTTTTTCTTGGCTGTGGCAAGAACGACATGATACAATGTACATAAAACACCCAGTGCGCAGAGCCTGGCACACAGTAGGTGCTCTGGAAATCTCAGCTCCTTTGCTCCAAGGTCACATACTCAGCCAGCGGCAGATGCAAGACTAAGATGCGGCGTCCTGGCGGGCAGGTATGACCTCACTGGCCCCTAGAACGGGAATCCACAAACATTCAACTGCGGAAAAGTGGCCTCAAAAAAGCCTCCAAGTGCAAGCATGGTGTCCTTAATAAGCCACCGAGTACAGTGTGCACATGCAGGCTCAAAACCTGCTCGTTGGTGATCCCAATGAAATGGTCCAGGAAGGACCTCTGAGAACTCTCTTCCATAAAAGCAACAAGAACACTGGCAAAAATTGTCAGAATCAACTTTTTTCAGAATTCTGGAAATTAACCAAAGGCTTGGAGCAATCCAGGGAGTGTTGATTGAAGAAAATAGGCTGGATCTCAGTAAGCACAGCAAGCTTTGAAGAGTTTTAACTTGCCCTGTTTCCATTCCCTCTCACCAACTCTGGAGTAGCCTTGAAAAACCAGCAGCCTGGCATCCACCAGAGGGGGCGGGACATGGTTGGAGCTCCTTTCAAGTCCATTCCCAGAGAATTGGCATTATTTGACCTCTCTGGTGGTTTCTTGGAAGACCCCACTTTCAAGGCTGTCTGTATTTTACCTGAATCACAGCTCATTGGTGTGAACAGCCTTTTCCTCAGGGGCATTTGTTGAAAACAATCAGAGGCAAGTGTTGAACATCGTGCTGCCCAAGGTGGTGGATTACAGTTGGCACAAACAATAGGCTAACAAAAAAGCTTGAAAGGAAAAACTGGGGAATGAAATATCCTGAGAGGGCTTTGAAAAGCTCCTGTATATTTCTGGGAATCTAGAAGACTATGAGCATGCAGAGGGCGGTGCCCAGGGTTATTCACACGCTCAGGAAAGACTTGAGAATGCCCCAAGCTTTCACCTCTGCCTGACACTGGGGCCCTGAGCAAGCAGGGAGGAAAGGCTAACATGGGGTTGTAAATTGCCTGCCTGAGCGTTGAAGCCATGCCCCCAAATACACACAGAACCCACTGGCAAAGAGAGGGAGCCTTCTTAGATCCAGGCATCTAAGGAAATCTCTGTGCAATCATTAGAGGGCCTTAGGCTAATCTAGCAGATATTTCAGTGGCCACACACCACAAAGAATTGAGATTTTACAGAATTAGTTGAGAAAAGTCACTAAACAAACAAACAACAACAATAAATAGCAACAACAAGCAGCCTGGGAAGGGAGAAGAATCTGATTTCCAGAGTTGTCAAATAACATTATTTAAAATGCCCACTTTTAACACCAACAAAAAATTATGAGACGTGTAAAGAAACAAGAAAATGTGGCCCATACACAGGAAAAAAGCAGATGACAGAAACCACACCTGAGGAATTGCAGACACTGAATTACTACACAAAGACTTTAAATCAGCTATTTTTGAATATGCACGAAGAAGTTTTTAAAATGTCTGAGAATTAAAGGGAAGTATGAGGAGGATTTCTCACCAGAGAATCTCAACAAAGAAGTAAAAATTATGAAAGACAGCCAATAGAATAGAGTTGAGAAGTACAATAACTAAAATGAAAAATTCACCAGAGGGGCTCAACAGCACACCTGAGCAGGAAGAAGAAAAAGAAAAATCAATGACCTTGAAGACCTTGAAGATCAATTGAGATTATCTAGTCTCAGGGATAGAAAGAAAAAAGAATGAAGAAGAATGAACAGTGCCTCAGGGGCCTGTGGCACCATCACACACATGCCAACACGCACAATGGGAGTGCCGGAAAGAAAGGAGAGAGAGAAAGGGGAGGAAGCACATGTGAAGAACTCATGTTCAAGAACTTCCCAAATCTGGTGAAAAACATTAATATATACGTTCAAGAAGAACACACATTCTTCTCAAGTTCACATGGAAGATTCTCCAGGATAGACCATATGTTAGGTCACAAAACAAGCATCGATACATCTAAAATGATTTAAATCGTGCAAAGTATGTTTTACAGCCATTCCACAATGGAAAGAAATTAAAAATCAATAACAGAAGGAAAACTGGAAGATTCACAAATACGTGAACATTAAATAATACACACCTAAATAAGCAATGGGTCAAAAAAGAAACCACAAGGGAAATGAGAACACTTTAAGATGAATGAAAATGCAAACATAATATACCAAAACTTACGGGGTGCAGGGAAAGCCGTGCTTAGGGAGAAGTTTGTGGCTGTATATGCCTATGTTAAAAAAGAGGAAAGACCTTAAATCAATGACCTAATTTTCCTCCTTAAAAAACAAAAACAAGAAGAGCAAATTAAGTCCAAAGAAAGCAGAAAAAAGGAAATAAGATTAAAGCATAAATAAATGAACTTGAAAATAAAAAAACAATAGACAGAATCAATGAAACTAAAAGTTGGTTCTTTATAAAGATCAACAAAACTGACAAACCTTCAGCTAGACTGACCAAGAAAAAATGAGAGGAGACTCAAATTACTAAAATCAGGACTGAAAGAGGGTCATTGCTATAGACCTCACAGAAATAAAAAGAATTATTAAGGAACACCATGAAGAATTGTGTGCCAACAAATCAGACAACCCGGGCGAAATGGACGAAATCCTACAAGGACAGAAACTACCAAAACTGACTCAAAAAGAAACAGAAAATCTGAAGAGACTTATAACAAGAAGTTGACACAGTAACCAAAAAGCTTCCCTTAAAGTAAAGCCAGGACCAGACGGTGATTTCTACTCAATGGTTAAAGATGAATCAGCATGAATCCTTGACAAACTTCCAAAAATAGAAGAGGAGGGAACACATCCCAATTCGCTCTGTGAAGCCAGTATTACCCTGACAGCAAAGCCAGACATTAAAAGAAAACTATAGACCAACAACCATCATGAATATAGATGCAAAAATCCTTACCAAAATCCTGTTAAACTGAATCCAGCAACAGATAAAAAGGGTTATACACCATGGCCAAGTGGGATTCATCTCAGGAAGGCCAGTTTGGTTCAGCACATGAAATTCAATCGATCCACCGTACCAGGTTAGCAAAGAACAAAATTGCACAATCATGCCCATTGAAGCAAAAAGGTCATTTGCAAAACTCCAATACCTTTCCATGACAAACACTCAACAAACTGGAAACAGAGGAGAATTGCCTCAGCCTGGCAAAGGTCACCTACAAAAACCCACAGCTAGCATCACACTTCATGGTGAAGGACTGAACGCTTTCAACAAGATGAGGATGTCTGCTCTTAGCACTGCTACTCAACACTGGGCTGCAGGTTTTAGCCTGGGAAACGAGGCAAGAAAAAGCAGTAGAAGTCATTCAGATCGGAAAGGAAGACGTAAAACTATCCCTATTTGTAGACAGCATGATCTTGTATAGAGAAAATTCCAAGGAATGCACAAAAACACTATCAGGACTAACAAACAAACTCAGCCAAGATTAATATACAAAATTTAGCTGTATTTCTCTACACAATGAACAATCTAAAAACAAAATTAAGAAAACAATTTCAGGGGCTGGCCGGGTGCTATAGTGGTTAAGTTCGTGCACTCTGCTTCAGCAGCCTGGGGTTCACAGGTTTGGATCCCAGATGCAGAGACAGCACCACTCATCAAGCTGTGCTGTGGCAGCATCTCACATAAAATGGAGGAAGGTTGGCACAGGTGTTAGCTCAGCGACAATCTTCCTCAAGCAAAAAGAGGAAGATTGGCAATAGATGTTAGCTCAGGGCCAATCTTCCTCACACACACAAAAAAGGGGGAAAACAATTCCATTTACAATAGCATCAAAAAAGAAAAAAAATACTTAGGAATAAATGCAACAAAACAAGCACAAGGGTGTTTTTTTGCAGGGAAGGAGTCTCCCTGAGCTGACATCTGTTGCCAATCTTCCTCTTTTTGTTTTCTCCCCAGCGCCCCAGTGCATGGTTGTATATCCTAGTTGTAAGTCATTCTAGTTCTTCTATGTGGGCCACTGCCACAGCACAGCAACTGACAGACACGTGGTGTGGTTCCACGGCTGGGAAACAAACCCAGGCCACTGAAGCAGTGAGAGCGTCAAACTTTAACCACTAGCATCAGGGCTGGCTCAAGAAGTATAAGATTTATATGCTGAAGACTACCCACGTCATCAAAGGAAATTAAAGAGACTGAAATAAACAGAAAGACATCCTGTACACGGGTTGTAAGACTGAATATTAAATGGAAATACTCCCCAAACTGATCTAAGATTCAATGCAATCTCTATACAAATCTCAGCTGACCTTTTTTGCAGAAATTGACAAGCTGGTTCTGATATTTATACAGAAATGCAAGGGACCCAGAGTAGCCAAACCAATCTTGACAAAAGAGCAAAGTTGGAGGATTTACATGCCCCAGTTAAGAACCTTACAACAAAGCTACAGTATTC